AAGGATATATATTAAGCAGATTACTCATTTATTGTAGAATAAGATATAAAATGCATCATTACTAAGTATTATCTGAATTGTGCCTCTGATCCTAATCAATCCTGCACTGCCATCTGTCTCAGCTTCCAGCCACTGGTATTCAACTGGTTTCCATCTGAAGGGCAGACACAGCTGGATATCTACTCATTAACCTTGGATTGCCGTTCTGATCCCATGCCTTTTATTTGTCCTTCTTGACATTTGGCCACTGCACACTTGTCTTTACAACACCCATATGTTGCTTTACGCATTTTAGGATTTCAACTACCATGCATACTTAAAACACGAGAACTCCAAAAGAGGGTGGAGAATGAAGAGGACTACTGGGAAAACACCTGACTTTGCATTCTGCTAAAGGACTAAACAAAGAGGTACAACCACACAGTAGCTAGGAAAGAGAGAGGGAGAGGGAGAGGAAAGAAAACCTCCTATTGAGCTGTTGGACTGATGATAGCAGAAATTCCTGTATTAAATGCCAGAATCTATAACCTGTCCATGGGCAGCTTACTCTGATTAAGGGTACATTTACTGTCTTTAGTGTCCCCTGAAGCACCTCTCCTGAATGAAATATTACAAGAAATTTCACTCTTGGATTACATATATTGCTGTTCAGGTTTTTTTGAAGGTAGGTGTGGGATGACTCTGTCCACATTTCTAGCCATCCTGAAGCCAAGTAGCTGCACTATGATAAAGCAGTGCTTGGACTTACTTGCCCAGCCCTGGTTTCAGTGTTACGTTAACTGGATTGATATTACACCTAAGCAATTTGAAGCTGGAATGAAGTAAATTTAGGTCTCTCATTAAAAACCTATTGTTAAAATCTTTGTTAAAGACTCATGCATCCATCTATAAAAGATCATGTAGGCATACTCATTGTTCTGAACTAGTTTATGTTTGGCATCAAAGCTGATAGACAGTCCTATAATAACAATATTAGTTGGGAAAAAGGCTCCTGTGTTGGCTCTGAAAATATCTGGGAACCCACACCTGAAGTAGGCAGGCTCTTCCATGTAAAAGAGGTCTTTTAAATCTTCATCTTTTACCTGTGAGTATATAGTTTAAAATATTAAAGTATTGTATTTATTTTCTACAGCATTTGTCAATGGGTTATCTATAAAAAAGAAAAATCTATTCAAACAGATTTGGAAGCACATGTGTTTCTACACACAGCGAGAACTGCAAAGAAAATTATTGTTGCATTTTAACTTTCCAATTTCTATTAATCTTAGACTTTTACACTGTACCTGTGTTCTCCAAATGTATGCATAAAGCTATATATTATGATTTTAATGAAAATTGATCTGATGTACTTCAGCTGATAAAATATGTTGCAGCTGCAGAAAGTATTATTGAACAAACTTCCATACCACTGTACTGTATGGTGGCAAACATGACACCAATTTTTTTTTCAAGGGTTACAGACAGATCTGAGGAGCTATAGAGAAGCAAACCTGAAGTCCAAGAATAGGAGGAAATATTCCAAAGAATAAAATACAGACTATAACAACAAGGAAGGGTTATACTGGCAAAAAGCTGACATGGCTTTTGCAAAAAGAAGTTGTGCCTCACAATTCTGCTAAAAAGTCTCTGAAGGAGTCAATAGGCATGTACACCAGGGAGCTCTAGCTGATACAGTGTACTTGGATCCACAAAAGGCACTCGGCAGAGTCTTGAAGCAAAGACTCAAGAAATTAAGCTGCTTCAGCGTGAGAGAGGCAGTCTTCACACGGAGGTAGATAAAGGATAGGCAAAGAGTAGGTAAAGAGATAGCAAGCAAGGGGTAGAAAAAAGTATCTGTTCCTGCACTAGGGTCTGTTCTGTTCCATATGTTCATAAATTATCTGGTAAAAAGGCATAAATATTGAGCTAATGAAACCTGCTGATTACGCTGAATTATTCAAGATAGTAAAGGCAAGGGCTGATGAATTGCAGAAGCAACTTCTGGTACAACCTCTTGGGCAACAAAGTAACTGATGAGATTCAATGTGAATTAATTTTAGCAGAGCATAGGGTGAGAAAAAAAACAACGCTAATTTTATGTACACAATAATAGATAATAGACTCGAACTGAGCATTACCATTCAGTAATGAAACCTTAAGAGGCACAACAGCTCTTTGAAACTGTCAGTTCAGTGGCTGATGGTGATCAGAATTGAAAAATCAAGTATTAGTAGTTTTTTTGAAAAGGCTAGAGAACAAAACATCATCATATCACTAAATAAATCTATGATGAACTTATATCTTGTTTACTATGCAGTTCTGCATGCCCCCTTGTGAAAAAATAATATAATAAAAGAGGTAAAGAGAAAGGGAACAAAGACAACCAAAACTATAGTAGGACTCCTGTATCACACGTGACTACATAGCACTCCTCAGTCTATGACCACTGAGTGAGGATACGATGGAGATATAGACCCACGAATGGCAATGACTTACAATAATAATTATGCAGCGGCACAGCTGGCCACTCATTGGAGTGTGTTACCATATACTGCAGTTCTAAGAAGCTGAGCACTATTAAAGAAAAATAGTTTGTAGGGTAGGTGACCGCTTGACAAAAAAGTTCCCCAAGAGCTTATCTTTGTATTTTATTATTTAATTAAAAAGTTCTTTGAATGTTTAAGATAAATGATCCCTCTATAAGATTCCTTTTGTATTAACTGGAAATAAAATTATTTTATTGCATACAAACCCATTGATCCCAAAAGCTCAAAACAGCTGCTAATGTAGCTGAACAAATCTAATATCTGCAAATGTCTCTGTGGTTTACAAGCTATAATTCTTTCACAAATAACACTTTCTTCTTGTAGCACACATGCTGCTACATGCACATATACATTCTAAATGAGATCTCCAGTTTAGGTTTGAGAATAAATTTGCATTTCTGAAGTTCAAAAAGAGGATACTGGAGTGACATGGAACATCTATTATAGCTTAATGAATCACTTGTATAACACAGAGTGCGAAGGTATAAAAATTTGTGATTATGAAACATCAAAGATTCTAATTTCCCCAGTGAGAAAATTCAGACCTGACCTTCACTTTGTCCTGTGTTCTGTGAATATTATGACAGAGTCTTTCATAGCATGATTAAGAATGGATTTCTTTCCCAAAGTAGCTCAAGTGGAGTATGATAGCAACTGAGCAAATTTTTGTAGCCTCTGTTACATCCAAGATGAAACTGGATGATTATAAAGATCCTTTCTGGCCCTAAAAGCTACAAGTCTTTGCAATAGATATTGACAAAATTCTCCATATGGGCACCTAAGTGAAAAAGAGATATTTAATTTATACATCTCATTTTCTTTCACTCAAGTTACAGCACCTCACCCCCACAAAGCTATGCTAGAAAAGTATTAAGATTGCCAAGTCCAACAGAACAAATCTAGGAAGTGCCGGAGTTAAGGTGAGCAATTTGTCAAAAGAAACTTTCCAGTTTTAAAGAAGCTGTAATGAGAAAAAGTTTCTCAGCTCCAAGACAGAAAGGGAACAGAGGCAAGGTCAGAAAGCAAACAAAATGTTACTGACATTTATTCAGCTTGTTGAAAACCTGGGTTTAAATCTTTGCTCTGCCAGATACAGACCAAAGATTTACATAAATGTGATCCTTTTTTTAGCTGAGGACCTCCTCACTAGCCTCGGTAGGTCCCCAATCCACTCAGTATACCACCCGATTTCTAAACCCATCAGTCTCTGGACTCATCTCTAGCCTTTGGCTATAAGCTCTATCTACAGTGCTGACGGAGTCCTGAAGAAAATAAGAAAGTTTTAAATACTTTAATATCCCTCCTCTTAAACATCCAGGGCCTACTTAAATAAGACCACCGCGTCATTAGGAGCTTGCAGTGCCACCTCTACATTTCACACAGCTTCTAAAACGAAATCAGGTTTGCAGTCAGGCAGCAACAAAATTTGCTCCAGACACAGCCTTGCATAGATTTTAAACCCAGAGAAGATAAGCCATACCAGAGAAGTACAGTACATCTGCCTCTGGGCGCAACCGCTGATCCTTACACTACAAATGATTATTACTCCCATTCATTCCCCAGAAAACCTATGTACATACTCTGAACAGTTGTTTTTGTTTCAGCATCAGTGTTAAAATGCTGTTATATGGTAAAGAGATGAAGATCACCAGTATCAGTGACACAAGGAAGACGTGAGGCTCTTAGTATAGATGTAGGGACAGGTAATATGTGAATATTTATGTACTTAATTACACATACAGCTTGCTGCGTGGTGCTTGGGAATTTACACTTCCTCATGTGCTCTGATACCAGTTACGTTACTAATAGCTCTGTTCATCCTGCTCTGCCTATAGGAATGCCTTTATGACTTCCACGTGTCAACACTTCCTTTGTCCAATTACAGTTCAATAAACTGTCATGTAAGTATAACCAGAGATGCCATGCACAAAATCTGTAAACCTCCTGCGTGAGAAGAGAAGTTGAAGTTGCTCACCGCCTCAGGAGGACTCCGTCTTAGATTCTGTGCCTGGAGTTGATTTCAAATTACCTAAGTAGCATGGCTTTTTTTCATGAAGATTAAAGCAATCCAGTATCTAGTCATATATTAACTACATTCAAATATGAAACAGTTAACTCCCTGCATGAGTTAAGAGAGCTTCAATTTCTGTGAAAATAAAATAGATGTTCAATTCTGAAAATCCAGAATAAATAATTGATTCCTATGACTTCTTTTCTTCCTATGGATTCAAAACAGAATTTTGGGGTGTTAGTCTGGAAGTTTGTATTGTTTTTCACAATACAAAATTGCAGCATGTTAAGGAATAATTTTGTCAGTTACGATGAATTCTGAAAACTTGATCTTCAGAAATAAAATAGCTACAAAATACTTCTGCAAACTCAGTTGATTTCCTTTAACCCATCTGCTTAAACTGAAACAATCTCAATAAATAATTTAAATAGGAAAACTGCTGCAATTCAGTTTAATTTTCCCAATTATTGTTTGTTTGCATCTTTCTTATATGTTTTTAATTTTAAATACTGCGTATAAAGAAATAAAAGAGAGAAATGCTTGCCTGAACATTTTGAAATGGATTCTTGTTACCATGGGATTCACTGAAGTATGTGAAATCATCTATGCTAAGCTGAAAAACAAAGAGAGTAGACTGATGAGAAGTAGCCACGGCATCTCATTTAGGTACAGGCTTGCACTCGGCATCGGTGAGAGAAAAGGAATTAATGTTACATACTGTATCCTGCAGGAACAAGATGAGTTGTCTGGAATTCTGGGTAAAAACAGGTTGCAAGAGTACAGTCAGCTCCTGTGCTGAGACAACGTGTCCTTCGTGCAAAGCAGTGTCTGGATTCCACTGTGATCTACAAAGAAAAAATTTTTTTCCTGTAAAATTTGCTGCCAATGATGACACCTCTTTTTTCTTTAAATATGCAGCAGCAGGTAATGATATCATCATCTTTGGATTAAGATCAAGTTTACAGTTCAGTTTGCTTTCATCCTACTCAGGAGGAAAAGAACTTGCCCATTTATGCCCATATCACATTAACTGTGTTACAGC